TCATTTAAACCTCACAACTACCCTGGGAAGTAGGTGCTATTGTTATCTTCATTTTACAACTGAGGAAACTGAGGCAGACAGAGGCTAAGTGACTTGCCCAGTGTCACAAAGACAGTAAATTTCTGAGGCTGGATTTGAACTCAGGTCTTCCTGACTCCAGGTCCAATGCTCTATCCACTGTGCCACCTCACCATAGAAAGGTGAGTGCAGTAAATGCAAAAGTATTGGCCAACTATAGCAAAACAACAACAATAAAAAAAAATCCTTAACTTTGAGAATGCCCAGGAGCTGATCCTTCCTTCACTGCACCCTGCCCAATCCTAATATATCAATTCCACAGAACAGTGCCAGGCCTGTCTTCACTTCCTGAGTCTCTCTGTACAGGTGAGTGATGGAGTTTCTCATGTCATCATACCATGTGTGGCATGTGGTTAATGTTCTTGGTTAGCCCAGCCAAGTATCAGTTTGTGTACATAAAATTTGTAAAGGCTTCAGTGAAAGTTAATACGTATGGGCTCTCTGTGAAAAAGTCAGTCTCGGTAGGGGATTTTGTACTGATCCTCAGGCACTGTCTGTGTGCAGCTATGTACCTGGAGCTAGATGATCCGATTTTTAAGTTCTATTGCCTGACTGCCTAGTGTTAATCCTTGCTAAACAGGGCTTCATAAAGCAGACTATAGAATTAAATACTTAGGGTCGGTTAGAACATGGCGGAGGGGTCAGGGGGGCCTTTTTATTTATTCAACATCAAAAATACCTGGAGGTAAAAGCAGCACCAATATTTATTTCTTTATTAAGAAACGCTGTTATTAGTGGGGGGAAAGCTGCCTTTCAGATTTCAGACCTTTACAGAAGGGCTCAACTTGGGAAAGTTTGCAGAATGGACTTAAAAATCTGAAAGAAAAAAAGCCTGAATTACGTGCTGAAGGAAAAAGGAAGAGTAACAGAGAAAGTGAAAGAAAGCCTTAAACAATTAGAAAGAATGTGATGAGCACACACTATGTACCCAGCACAAGCCAAGGATGACAGAAAGGGCAAAACCTTTTGGAATATTCAACAAACTATAGCGTTTCCTGTCATGGAAGGGAGGGTGGGCTAATGGAAGGAACATCAGATCCTGTGGTCAGAAGAACCCACTCCTCTACTTGAAAGAAGTGTGATGTTGGGTGTAGTAAAAGTGCTGGCACCCACATGATGCCCCTTCCTCCTAATTTTTAGAGCTATTTCTTGATAGGACTTTTCATGGCTTTGTATTTACTAATATTCTACTCCCCAAGTAGAATGGAAGCTTATTGAGAGAAGATGACTGTCTCGTTTATTTGGTCTGTAACTCCTCAATGCCTTGCCCTTAACAAATAACTTGCAAATGGTTCCTGAATTGAGTTGAACCTTTCTAAGCCTCAGTTTCCTCCTCTTCACAGGCAGGTTGGCCTGGCCTCTACAGTTCCTTCCTGCTCAGAAAGTTTCTAATTCTATAAGGTTTTTCTTATTCTATTAGGGATTTGGTTTCAAAGGCCCAAGGGCCTTATCTTTTAAGGTTTAATGCTGACTCTCATCTTTGTACTCCTTCCTCATCTCTACCTCCTGACATTCTTCTCTTCCTCCAAAGTTCAGTTCAGGTACCACTTCCTCCAAAATGCCATCACTGAACACTCAAGCACAATAAATATTTTCTCCCTCATCAAAGATTCTAGAGCACTTTGCCTGGATTTTTGTTTTTCCCTTACTACACTCTGCTTTATGTCATACTTAGATGCTAATGTGCAAGTACTCCCTATTATAGATTAAGCTTCTTGAAAGTAATTTTTCATCTCTATCCACTGTGCCCAGCACTGTTCCATGAACATAGTGAGTATTTGAAAAATGTGGAATTTGAATCTGTATTTCTCATAATGCCTAATACAGGCAATATAGTTAAATGTTCATTGTCAACTAAGCCCTTCCTTCTTCCATTTTGTGAATACGATAGTACTATGCAAATGGCTATAGGGTAGATAATGTGCAAAAATCACTGATAATGACTTGAACAAGAAAAATAAAAGGTAACTCATCCCCAACTGACACAGGGAGCCAATGGGAAGAGGTGAGGAGAGATTGCTTTTTAATCCTATTCCAGATGATGGCTCTAGAGGAGAGAGTGAGGCCCTAGGAGAAGAGGCTTGGGGGATGCCAAATAGCTAAATAAAAAGGAACCATAATTATCATTATTATTATTACTACAGCCTAATTAATCTTCTTTGTGCATGAACAGGCCATGTCATTCTTCTGCCCCAAACTCTTCAGAGGGTCCTTACTGGCTGGCATTCAAGACTCTCTACAATCTGGTGCTCTTCTACTTCTCGGGCCTTGCCTCATACTAGTTCCTTCAATGTGAAATGTGCTAAACCAGACCTCTCTTTGTCCCTCTGAAAACATCACACTTTCCCACTTCCTTTCTCTGGCTTACTCTTTTTTTTTTGGCTAGGCAATGGGATTAAGTGACTTGCCCAGGGTCACACAGCTAGTAAGTGTCAAGTGTCTGAGGCTGGATCTGAACTCAGGTCCTCCTGACTCCAGGGCTAGTGCTCTATCCACTGTGCCACCTAGCTGCCCCTCTCTGGCTTATTCTTTTCCCTATGTTTGGAATGCCCTCTCTCCTCTCTCCTACCTTCCCCCAACCCATGCTGGTTGCAACACAAGCCTGAGACTGAACTTAAATGCCAACTCTTCACCAAAGAGAAACTGATGGGATTTTATCACTCAAACAGAAGAGGCATTACCATCTGTTTTGCTGCTGCACCCTAAAGACCATGGTACTTTTCCATAGGACTTTAACCTTCCACATGTGAAATCTCCCCCATTGGAATGAGAGCTCTGTGAGAGCAGGGACCTCTGACTTTTCTCTTTGTGTATTTCCCAGTACTTTGTACATAGTAAACACTTCTAATAAATTATCATTCATTCAGACACAGATCATTGGGCAAATCCATTCCTTAAAGACCAACTCAAATGTCACTGCCTCTGAAGTCTCTAGTCAATAATGACCTTTTCCCACTTCAGACTTTATATGCCATTTTGTTTGCATCTCCCCCGCACATTGACCGAACATTATTTTGTGTAACAGTCATCTGTGCACGCTCCCTCCAATTCCCTTCCGATTACCCTGTGTCTATCTTGTATGTGCAGGTTTTTTGCAGATTGTCTCCCCATGAGAATGTGAGCTCCTGGAGAAGTCATTCTTTGTATCTCCTTCATTTAGCTGAGCACCTGGCATATAGGAAGTGCTTAACAAATGTTTGTTGACTGACTGATAGGTCCTATCTCTAACTAGACCGCCAGATCAATGAAGAAAGAGCAGTGCACTATCAAAACTTGGCACTCACCCCCATCCCAGAACTCAGCTCAGGGTTCTTAATTAAGCACATTAGGTGCTAAATAAACAGTTGTGAATGTGAACTGAATCAGCAAAATCATCTTGATTAATTGTCAGTCAGTCAATAAGTATTTATTAAGCACCTACTATGAACCAGGCACTGTACTAAACGCTTTACAAATATTATCTCATTTTAACCTCACAACAACCCCATGAGGTAGGTGCTATTATAACCCCCATTTTACAAATGAGGAAACTGAGGCAGACTGAGGTTAGGTTCCTTGCCAGGGTTGCACAGTTAGTACGTGTCCAAGTAGATGGGAATTCAGGTCTTCCTGACTCCACTGCACCTCCTAGCTGCATATGAGAGTTGGGGAAGGAAACAGAGTACAAAAGGGGCAAGATGCATTTTTCTTTACATGAGTAGCTTGGTCCACGCAATTGACCTTTAGCTAATGTTGTCCCATGTGGATGTTTTTCCTCTACAATTCTGCAGGACACATCTGTTGCCTTCTGCACCAATACAAATTTCAAGGGCAGCTGTAATCTCTGTATTTCACCATTTGGGGCATGATTTTGATCTAGAAGAAACTGCATTTCCAGTGCTAAGACCCTGAATATAACTGGTATAGTACCAGGGTGCATATCACATAAGGATTTTAGAGCTGGAAGTTAGAGGAAGCTAGGTTTGGCAATGGACAGAGCACTGGATTTGATAGTCAAAAAGACGTGAATTCAAATCTGGCCTCAGACATTTACTAGCTGTGTGATCCTGGGCAAGTCACGTAACCTCTCCCTGACTCAGGTTCCTAATCTGTAAAATGAAGATTACAATAGTACCTACCTCATCCAGGGTTGTAGTGAGGTGAAATGTGGAATCTGTAAGCTGCTTAGCACAATGTCTGGCACATATTAAGTGTTACATAATTGCTCATTCCTTTCTCCTAGTGCTCTTAGCACAGTGTCTATCATATAGTATACCCTTTCAAAAATGTTAGTTTAAAAAACACAACAACTTAGTCTTGCCTTTTCATTTTATAGACGTTGCCAACTCTTTGGAAGTGACTTGTTCAAGGTTACAGAACTAGTTAAATGACAAGAGTCTGAAATCAACTCCCTCCCTACCCAGGCTCTCATTTTTCTGATGAGGAAACTAAGTTCAAATGAGGTCAAATTACTTGTCCAAGTCATGCACATGCTAACCAGCAGAGCTGAGATTTGAATCCAAATCCTTTAACCCCAAATCCAGTGCTCCCCTCACCAAGCAAGTCTCTGCCCTTCCCCTCCACCATACTGTCTGCTTAAGACTGTACTTAAATGCCAACTCTACACCAAACAGAAACTGATAGGACTTTAACACTTGACATGATATTAAGAAGAAGCATTATCACTATCTTTGCTGCTATACTCTAAGGACCATGGGATTCTTTCATTGGATTTGTATGTCTCCCCCATTAGGATGTGAGGTCCTCGGGAGCAAGGACTCTTTTATTTTTCTATTTATTTTCTCAGCCCTAAGCTTGGCATAGTACTTTGCATAAAGTAAACAATAATTGCTTCCTCTTCCCCCTCCCTCATTCATTCATTCAAAAATCACTTCATTAGACAAATTCTTTACTGAAACTAAGGGATCAAAAACATCCATTACCTTTTCATGGTTTTCTATTAATATCTCAATCACAATATTCTGGAACTTGATATCCATGATGGCTGCCACTGTTTCTTCTTGCGGTCTTAGCAGTGTGGGTCCAAACACCACACCCAGGTTTGCCACAGTCATCAAATTTTGCTTGTGGTTATTAGCAACACTGGGAGTAAAAAGAAGAAGAGAGATGATAGAAATAATGTGCAGAATGGAAAGTTCCTTTCTTTGTCCCATGCTTTCCCTCTTCTTATTTGGCATGAAAAGAGCACCCAGGTCATCTCAGGACACCAGAGAAACCCACTGCCCTGCTGTGTGTTCATGTCCAGAACGCTGAAGGCTGGCAAAAGGAACGGGTATGAGTCACACAGCCTATTGTATCATTCCAAGGAGAAAAACACAAATTTCCATCCTACTATTTTCTATTGATCTAAAGAAGATTCCAACCTGGATGCTTTACATGTTAGCCTGCCCTGTCTGGGACAGAAAGCAACCTCAAAAGTTTCTTATCTACAGTTTCTAATGCAGATGAATATTCTTGACAATAGGCAACCAACTCTTCATCCTCCAACACATTCCACAGATGGGATAAGTTTGCAAACCTAAATGCAAAATAAAACCCAGTTTCTCATAATGGGCTGAATGAAAAACCTAAAAACAAGCAAGAAAATAAACCATTTGTTTTCCCACAGTAATAAGTCCATCATTTTGCACGTATGACATGCATTAACCGAAACAGAGCTGCATAAGCTGTAAGAAAAATGTACAATTGTAGATCCACCTTATGTGAAGGGAATTTTTACTCTCTCCTGTAATCAAAGTCAATGCCATAGATATTTGGGTCAACAGGACAGGGAAAGTGTGGATAAATACGCCCATTTTCAATTACCAAAAAACATTACATCCAAAGCATTTACCTTGATCCTAAACTTGGGCCAAAGTAAACTATATGGCTGTAAACCATAACTGCTCACTTATTTGCACGGCATATACAAACATTCAAATACCTCTCCTTGTCCATAATGGAAAAAAATGGTCAAAAAATGCAAACCATACAGACCATTAAACAAACAAACACACACATACATACACACACACACACACACACACACACACACACACACACTGCTCATCCTCATTAATACTAAAAGAGGTACAGATTACCAAAAAAAACAACAACAAAAAAACAACTCTGAGATATCACCTCATAGCCACTAAACTGGAAAATGTAATTAAAAGCAGTGAAATTTACTATTGGCAGGGTTGTGAAGAAACAGGTACAGTCATTCACTGTTTTTGGAATATAAACTTGTAGAATATTTTTTGGCGAGCAACATGGCAGCATGCTGTAGAAGTTAGAATAAATAGCAATAACTGACATTTACATAGCTCTTTAAAGTCTGCAAAAGTACCACACATATATTATCTCGTTTGGGACTTTCACTAACCCTGTGAGGAGGGTACCACAGGTATAATTTACTTCATTATACAGATAAGGAAACATTATAGATCAGAGACATTAAGTGACCTGCCCATATGTTCACAGAGCTAGTAAATATCAGAAGCAAAATCTGAGCCCAGGTTCATAAACTGAAGTTCAACACTATCTACTATATCACTGCCTTTCCTCTCTTTGACTCAATAAGTCTATTGCTGAGAATGTACAAAGAGACATCTGTTCAAAGATGTTTTACAGCAGCATTATCTACAATGCTAAAAATTAGAGGCAACCTATGTGTCCAATAATAGGGGAGCACTTAAATAAACTGTAGTTCATGATTGTAACAAAATGCTATAATTAAATTAATTCTAAAAACTAAGAGAAAAAATAAAGATCTGGACAGACTTTGATAAAATAATGCAGAATGAAACAGGGAGAACAAGAAGAAGAGAGAACACAACAGCTGTGACCAGGTAAGAGGAAAAGTGAATGAGAAGGAATGAACAGACAGTTTTGATGAGGACTTTGAGGGAGTAACTCAAAAGTCTTAAGAAGTCCTTCCAATAAAAAGAAAAATCCTGTATTATGTCTATAAATTAATTTACTTAAATACAAACAGTATACAAAACACAAACACAAAATACAAAAACACATTTAACTAATAGCACTGGTGTTTAGAAGAAGGGCAGCCTGACCTAATGGGTAGATAGCTGGCTTCGGACTCAGGAAGACCTGGGTTCAAGTCCCACTTCGGACATGCTGGCTGTGTGACTTTGGACAAATGTCACTTATTCTAGGCTCCCCAGCTAATTCGAAGAATAGATGTTCATCTGCATTGATGAAAGGGAATTTCCTCAACAGAAACTCCTTATATCACTGCAAAATCATAGGTGTAGTTCAGCAGCAGTAGTACCACCCAGATATTTAATACTAAATTCATAATAAATCACCTCTAATACAAATATCTACAGTCAACAAGGAAGGCCCCATAATAGTGAAAACCACTGAAGATAGGAGTTAGGAAAGTAATAGGGATTGCCCTAGGGTACTTAATCTGTTAAAAGAATGATACTTATGACTAATTCACAATTAAAGGTAAGGCTGGTCAAGATAGGCCCATCCACATACCTAATTCCTTGGGCATTTAGTAAAGATGCATCTTCTTTGCTCCTGGCATTATAAATGTATGACGTTGTTTCCTTCAATTACTTTCATTTTTGTTGAGGGAAGGAGGAAGGAAGGGAAGGCAGGAGGATGGACTTCTGAATCAAATACTGGCTTTTAAAATTCTAAGTGTATACTGAAAGATTATACTAACCAGTTCTAATCAGCATATAAATGTTCATTTCTCCAAACTTTCTTCAGGCAATACCTTCATTTACTAGAATTCTCCTCCTTCCCCAAGGGAGAGAATAAATATGGTGTCTGGTCACTGGCCTGAGCAGGCCTTGCAGAAGAGCTTTTCTGAAGGCTTTATTTGCCTTTTGATTCCAAACAAAGTCCACAGCACGGGATATGCCACCCACCAATGTCCTAACTACACCTACTGGGAATAGAGTCCATATAAGAATTACCCTGCATGACAAGTAGGACAGTCATTTCCTGGTACATTACCTTCTAGATACTGAACCTTAAAGTAAAGGTAGCTGTTTATAATATCTTTTTCTAATATAAAAAGCATTAAGAGCAATATCACAAATGACTTTGTGAAAGGAAAAATTGAAATGAGTACTCCACCCCGTAGAAGTCCTGGCTTGTAATAAACTGTTCAACAAAACCAACCAATATAGGTGACCATATCTGACAATGCATGCAAAATATTGCATCCACAGTTCCCCATCTGGGGCACCTAGATATATACACAGATATGCTAACGTCACATGTACACCACATATCTTAGGGCAACTATAGAGTACTGGGCCGAGAGTCAGGAAGACCCAAGTTCAAATATGACCCCAGACACTTAGTAGCTGGGTGACCCTAAGCAAGTCACTTAACCCTGTTTGCCTCCGTTTCCTCATCCGGAAAATAAGCTGGAGAAGGAAATGGAAAATCACCCCAGGGTTACAAAGAGTCGAACATGACTAAAACAACTGAACAAAGTCCTCCATCTATGCTTAAAGTGTGGAAGTGCTTCTTCATTTCTTTTCCAGGGTCAAGACCGGTCAGCCATCACAATAGTTCAGTGTTCTGCTTTGTTTGAGTGTTATTTCATTTACATTATTTTAACTGCCGTCCTCCTGCTTGCTTGGTTCTGCATCACTTCACATGTCTTCAACAGTTCTCTAGAATTAATATTCCATCACATCCATGTGCCGCAGTTTGTCGGGCCATTCTTCATTTGACAGCACCCCTTTGGCTTTCAGTTTTTACCTACCACAAAAAAAGTGCTTTTGCGGAGCATATTAAATACTGCCAGACATACCCCTCAGCTATCACTTCTTGTGCAATGGAATATTTGCTATATTTATTCAACCTCGCTGCTCTGGACACGCGAGAATCTTACAAAATGAACCATCAAATCCCTTAAATTTTTCACCAGACCTGTTTGTCACTTCTTCTTCCTCCTTGGACATGACAGAAACGACACACAACAACAACGACAACAACAACAAAATACTTCTTGTTTTAAGTATACAACTCTATCCACTACAGAATTTGTTTTGCTGCTTTCTTACTGAAAGCTATATTTAAAGTTTTCTTGGGGAGGAGGGATAATCTGGTAATATTTTACACATGAAAAGTATGTGATGAAAATACATTTTCTTATAATTTGGCTAGGAATTTCCCCAAATGCCAAGTTGACACCTTACTTAGGGAAAAACAGTCCTTTCCATCACTCAAAGAAATGGCCAGCCATACAATTGGGTCTGCTTTTGAGATGCCTGCCTCCTTCACAAGAGTGGTTCAGAATTTTGCTCTTTCCAGTTCAATTATGCAGCCACTGGCACTACCATTTGTACCTCTCTAAGACATAACTTCCAGGGAATTTTCTGTTATGGTGAGGTAAAGTTGCTTCTTGGCCTTAAGGAAAACTTCCCTTAAGGACCACTTAAACACAGTAGCTAAGTGGCTAATGGGTAACCCTAGATGAAAGGTGAAGACAAAAATGTTCTGGAGTTTCTCACCTTAAATACCACATAAAAAGCAGTAATTTTAAAGTACCAGTGCTGAGATTTGAACTCATGTCCTCTGACTCCAAATACAGCATGATTTCCACCATAGCACTGGGCTTCCAATTCCTCTCTACCTAGCTAGTTACACATGAGGTATCTACACATAAGGCAGCCTAGCAGATTGAGAACTACATACCCTGTTAGAAAGTTTTGTCATTTTAGTCATGTCTGACTCTTTGTGACACCATTTTTATAGGGTTTTCTTGGCAAAGATACTGGAGTAGTTTGCCATTTCCTTCTCCAGGGTCCCCATTTTACAGCTGAGGAAACTGAGGCAAACAGAGGTTAAGTGACTTGCCCAGGGTCACACTGCTAGTAATTGTCTGAGGCAGGATTTGAACTCAGTCAGATCCTGCCTCAGATACTTAATTGGCTATGTGACCCTGAGCAAGTCCCTTAATTTTTCTCATCCTCAGTTTCCTCACTGACTATCTCTCTGGGCCTCAGTTTCCTCATCAGTATAGTGACAGAGTTGGATCACATGTCCTCTAAGAACCCTCCAGCTTTAAGGATAATAATAGCGTTGCTGTGAGGATACAATGACATATA